TCACAAGTGCACACTATCACAGCATCTCCTCTTTCTTTATCTTCTTCAAAAGGCTTAGTCCCAATAAGACACAAAGTGTGCTTCTTTCCAGCTACGCTCTCACCCTTTGGTTGACAGAAGCCTCTGTGACCCTTTTTGAAGGGGAGGTTAGCTGTTTCGGTGTCCATATTCGTAATCAGCGTCCAAAACTATCAATGTACCTACGTTTCCTTTGAAGTTCCATGGGAAGTTCAAAACATCTTCTAGTGAGTATCACATTCGTCGGACTTGTCCCTAGAGGAATTGATGTGAGAGAAGCGATCGAGCGACGGCAAGGGAAGAACAAAGTAGACGAGCGGTCTCACAAGGAACAGCATGGTCTGAAGCTGGCAAACTGTTTAGACGGACGCCGGGAATTTGTTAGAAGTGGTTTGGGATTGAGCTCATTAGTAGGAAGCATGCTGCGTGTGAATGTGTTAGGTCCGTATGTACAGAAGCCGTGAAATCTCGCTTGAAAGTGCAATTGGGGCTCTTTTAGATAGGGGCTTGCGATCTTTGAATCTCCATGCAACCCGCTCGTCCACCGCGGTTTGCAAGGATCAGCGATAATAACGGTCGCGGCTACACGCAACATGGATCACGGCGCAGCGACTAATAGCCCTTCAGATAAAATACTAAGATCGAAAGCTCCCAATTGCTGCAGCCGTAGAAAAAAAACCTTATACGAACACGCCCCTTCCACATCCCAAGATAGTGTTGCCACGAGAGAGTGGGATTTTTTGCTTTCTTTTCTTTTTCAGATCACTCTCGCACCCCAAATTCATTATTTAACACCCTTACACATCCATTCTATCCTTGGGCTTGCCTTTATGTTTTATGCGCTGGTCAGTCTTTACATATTAGGCGAAGAGTTCGCCTTGCATGCTTGATCGCGGAACACAGGAGGCATATCGAGTCAGTAACGAAGCCTTTTAGATTTTTGCGCATTTGAAGAAGCTATCAGCCCAGTCTTGCACCAGTCATTCGAAGTTAAAGGCAGAATTTGCAATGAAAAGTTAGCTCATTGGGAATAGGGTAGAGGAGAAGAAACCATGTGAAACGGCCCGAAACCCGAGAAATGGGACCCC